AACGAAACTCTCCACTAGTAAGACTTAACAGATCAATAAAAAAATTTGGAACTAATTGGAATACTTGTTTCTGAGATGAGGTTTATTGGTAAATTTCCATTGAAAAAGTTACTAACCTTTTTTTTTTCTTATAATTACCTATAAGACTTTAACTCAAAATGAGGCCTTTTGTTAAAATTAGGGCATAAAGCGAGTGCTTCATTGACAACCCCTCGAGCCGAAAAAAGTATGCCTGATTAGAGTAGTATTTTGATTTTTTTATTTTGGTAGTATTTTGATCATATTAGAAATGAACACAATCTACTACCATCACCTTGATGACTTAAAGTGGTATTTAAAAAAAAAGAAAAAGAAAAAAAAAACTAATTAGAGTCCCAACCACAAAAGATAGAATTTTTTAGCATAAATTACAAAAAAAAAAAAAAAAGGGTTTCACTTGTTTTTCAATTTACCCCAAGATTTCAATTATAACAATTAAAACCCTGATGTTACTTCCGTGTCATAATTTAACCCCTTTGTTCATCTTGGTCTGATTAAACTAATAGAAATCTGGGCAAAATTTTCAGATTCAAACCCACATGTTCAAGTCCTTGTATCTCTCTTGTCGTAGCTCCGTTTCGCCTCATTTTCGCGTTGTTGGATTCATCTCATGGCCTAGTTTTCATTCTAGCCCTCATCCGCCTTATTTTACCTCTTTTTTTGTGCCGTTGAAGCTCCGACAGTTAGCCAAAAATTAAATTTTTCTCTCATTTTATTTTTTATTATTTTCAGATTTAAACCCATATGTTCAAGCCCTTCTCGCCTCATTTTCACGTCGTTGGATTTACCTCATGGCCTAGTTTTGATTCCACTCATCATATGCCTTATTCTACCTCTTTTTGCATGTTATCGGAGCTTCAAAAGTTGGCCAAAATAAGATTTTCTCTTTATTTTTCTTTTCATATTCCAACCCATATATTTAAGTCCTTGTATTTCTTTGGTCGTAACTCCATTTCATCTCATTTTCACATCATTGAATTCACTTCGTGGCTTATAGTTTTCATTCCACCTCTCACACGCCTTGTTCCATCTCTCTCTGCATGCCATCGGAGGTCCAAAATTTTGCCAAAAATATGATTTTCCAATCTAGGCAAAATTTTCAAATATTATTTTTGCTAATTTTCGGAGCTTCAACGAGACACAAAAATATGTGGAACAAAATGTATGATGGGAGGCCTTAAGGTGAATCAAACGATGTGAAAATCAAGTGAAACGGAGTTATGACGAGGGAGTTATAAAGGCTTGAACATGTGTGTTTGAATCTTAAAAATAAAAAAAAATAAAAAAAAAAAGAGAGAAAAAAATCTTATTTCTGCCAACTTTTGGAGCTCCAGCGGCACACAAAAAGAGGTGGAATAAAGCGTATGAGGAATGAAAAGAAAATTAGGTCATCAGGAGAATCCAATGATGTGAAAATGAGGCGAAACATAGTTATGACGAGGGAGATACAAGGGTTTGAACATGTGCTTTTGAATTTGAATTTTTTTTTTCAGATTTCCGTTAGTTCAATCTGACGGAGATGAACGGAGGGGCTAAATTTTGAAAATCTTGGGGTCTAAATTGAAAAACACGCAAAACTCTAAGATTTTTTTATGTAATTTGCTTAACCTTTTATTTTTATTGGCTAAACATTTTTTAAAACACTAGTCCACTATATACCATAGAAAGTGGTAATGTTATCACTATACAATAGGAACATATATTAGGTACAATAATGATATTATTTTACATGATGTTATAAATTCATAAAAAATCTTAGATGATGAGGTGAGACTAATTTTATTTCCTACCAAGGCGATCCTTATCAGAATAAGAATCATTTAAAGTGATTTTTCATATAGTGATGCCTGAGATTTAATTACACAAAATTTGAAAGTCAGTAATTAAAAATTAAGTATACAATAGCCGTACAAAATATCGTTGTAGAAAAAATCACTCTAGAAGATCCATAGTCTCCATCCATTTCCCATTCGAAACTTTCCATTAATCAATGTGTTACCATGGCATTCAATATCTAATATTAAGTGAGACCAATCCTACAAATTGTAGGTAAAGATAGTTTGAAATGAAAATTCTTTAACAACCGGAGTTAGCCAGCTGTCAGAACTTGTGTTACTTACTGGCAGATTACGAATTGGACTATTTTTTTCTCTTTCAATGTAAAAGGAATAATTTAAAAGATGAAAAAAAAAAAGAAAATAATTGTACAATTATTTAAGAACAAGTTAAACAACCCACAAAACCGGTCTTGGGTTAAGACATTTGAGACCTATACCTTAGGCCCCAAACAAGTGGCCGAAAATATGATTTCCAAATTTCGTAATGTCTTAGAGTATATTACAAATTCAATTAGGCCCAATTTAGAACTAAAAAATTTTGTTGGGCCCATATGAATTTTTTTTTTTTTTTTTTAATTTATAAGTGTGGTTTGACCCAATTAAAATTAAAACATATACCAAAAAAAAAAAAAAAAAAAAGTGTTGTTTTGACCTAATTTTTCATATTTTTTAGTATTTGTAATGATTTCTTCCTATTTTAATATATAAAAGTAAATTTTAGTTTATAATTTTAATCATTATATGTGCAAGTAAACTTGAATAAAAAACTTGTTAATACTTGACATTTTATGTATAAATTTTTTATTAAAAAATATATATAAGAGGTCCAATTTTTTTAGGTCACCTCAGATATCATAAATCTTAGGACCGATCCTAAACAACCTTACCATAATCAAGCCACCTTTAACAGTAAGATGCTGTTGGTCTTCCACCTAGAAAAAAGGTTTAGCACAACAAAATTGTTTAGTGATGTATACAAAATGTAAATTTAAAAACAATTAAGGTGACATAAACACCATCTTTGGTATAATTATGGCTTAATACATCACTACGGAATGAGTGGATCTTTTTATTTTTTATAACATGATATTCTTGAGTTAACAATTAAGCAAAATCTCAAGGGATTGACCTAGTGGTGAAGACCTGGGGCTTGGGATTTGGAGGTGTGCTCCCTCCAAGGACTCTAGCTTAAAAACTCCTAGGTATAAATAATTTTTTGGGCCAGTCCATACAAGACAAAGCACTTACTTTAATTCAGACTCTCACAAGTGTGGTCTCAGGATTAGTTGGTCTAATGAATTGGATATCAAGTTATAAAAATAAATAAATAAATAAATAAAAATAAAAAAGGGTAAAAAATTACACAAAATTTTCGATAACTCTTTGAAATAACTCGAACTTGATGATTTAAATCTTATTTTCACGTTTTAACAGCCCAGCCAACCATTGGGATGGAATGTTTCAGTCCTTGATGGAGAACCGTTGATCATATTCTAACAAACCATAACCACTGATTCAGATTGCAAACAACAAAGAATGATCAATGAGTATTGGAGTTGGAGATGATTTGTGACTTACACTTTGGGCCTAAAGTCATGAATGTCATCTTTGAGTCCATTGCCTCATCAAAACTAAATCTTCAAAGTCCATAGAATTGGATCCAAAGAATGATAGATGTCCATGTGGTCAACAACCATGGCACCATGCCAAATGTATATAATCTCTCTCTCTCTCTCTCTCTCTCTCTCTCTCTCTCTCTCTCTCTCTCTCAGGGGACAGGGAGGCAGTAGTACATTTTGACAATCAAGGTGAGCATATTAAAGTGTTAATTAAGTGCAACTCAACTGTAATAATTAATTTTATATAATCCATTCTTCCAAGGCAAAAACAACACTAATAAGCGCAAAACCACTCCAACAAGAAATGGGATATGGGTTAGTCCTCAATTTCGAAAAAGGTATTAACTTAGTAAAAAGTGTAGGAGGGGGTTCAAGAAAGGAGTTGAGAAATTCGAATTCTCTGGAATATGATAAGAGGCTTAGATTCTTCAATAATCTCAACTTAGGAACACAACAACAAAGGAGATGATGGAGATAAGAGATTGGGTGAAGAAGAAGGCAAAATGGCTAGAGAATAGAATAATGGCAAGGCTCTCCCATTGATCTCCCACTTTCTATTTACTTAAAATGTTTGTAATTGTCGAAGTCTTAGTGGATTCTATTTACTTAAAATGTTTGTAATTGTCGAAGTCTTAGTGGATTCTATTTACTTAAAATGTTTGTTTGTTTGTAATTTTAATTTGGATGTAGGAGACAATAGGTCACTTGATCAAATTCCTATTGCTTGCAAAGATGCAGTAGCAATTTTGTTTATGTTTGATTTTACTAGCCGGTGTACTCTAAATAGGTATGTTAATTATTTCATCATTAAATCAATACTCCTTTTAATAGTGATACATACATAGTTTTAAGTTTAAAGAACCACTAATTTGATATAATTTATAATATCAAATAGGGTGACATAATAGTAGTCAACATTATTGATTGATGCCAAGCATGTGTAACATTATGATTTTGAATTTCTAATGTTTATCACAATTTTACTATGAAAGTTAATAAAATCCATTGAACTATGTATACATTTTATCAAGCTACTCAGGATTGAATTTGGAACTCAGAATTTAGACTGGACAAGGTGTGTGAAGGTCAGCCAGTACATATGTTATACATTGAAATTCAGAAGTTTAAGCTCTACCGAATGAAAGAAGAAATATTGCCCTTAATCATCTAAGTCTCTCTCTCTCCCCACCTTAAATGGCAGCAGAAGGCATGGTTTATGGCTTAGGAAATTTTTTAAGGCCCTATTTGGACCTCGAATTTTGAATTTGTGAAAAAAAAAACTTGTACTTCATTTTTCTTTATTTTATTTTATAAACCCAAAGTTCAAACACAACCGAAATATGAAATTGTAAACAAGGGTTTAAAGCAGATGAAGGTACAAGTTTATAACTAAATTTAGTTTGAGTTAGAGCTCAAGGTATGAGTTTGCGACTTAGTATGAAATCGTAACCAGGGGTTTAAAAATTTATTTTAAAACTCATACTAAATTTCTTATTAGTAGACATAAAGGTTTGAGTTTCACGCGTATTCAGTAATGTGGATCTTATTATCTTTGTGTAGTGGTAAAAATTAATAAATAAATAAAATGTAGCGAGAAACTCATTTACTATAGCATCATTCATTTTATATTTCCCAAAATATTGGCTCAATCGAATATCAAGCTACTCAGGATTGAATACCCTGAGCCAACATATGTGCTTATTTATTTATTATTTTTTATATTTCAAAAATAAGCTTGTCATTTTGGTGCTAGAAATTGTATTTGGCAGACTACGAGTACTTTCCTTAAATATGTATCTGAAACCCAGACAGTAATATAAACATTTTACAAGAAATTACCACTGATTGTGTTACTTATCTTGTTAGTTTTTTTCCCCCTTCCTTCTATTTGTTCTCTCAAATAACTACTTTCCCTTTGGTTCTTTGCATTGTTTTTAAATGGTTTGCAGAAAGGTATTGATGAGAACTGGGCAGCTGCTCTTGAACACAATCCTGAAGCTTTTGCAAGGGTGGTATGTGTAATTGACTGCCACATGTAAAAACTGTACTTATTATTTCTTGGTAAATGAGTTTTAAATTATTTTTGAACTTTTCAGGTCATGTTATATGTTGACATGGAAGTCAATGGTGTCCCTTTGAAGGTAGTAACAAGGGAAATAGCATGGTTTGCTTCCATGCTTTTCTATATTTTTTATCGTTACACTTGTTTTTAATTCTACATGCAGTAACAGCCCTGTGTTTCTTGTATTGCCTGCTAAACATTTTTTTCCCCCCCTCTCTTGGAACATGTTCTTCATCAAATCCATTCTGTTCTTCTTCAAATCCATTCTGTTCTTCATCCTCTCGCTCCTGGTTTTTCAGGAACTCGATTTTGTGTAGTGGTAAAAATTAATAAATAAATAAAATGTAGCGAGAAACTCATTTACTATAGCATCATTCATTTTATATTTCAAGTTTAGAAGTTTGAGTCGGTGATGTTGAGTAGTGTAGCTTGTTACTTTGTATTTTAAAATCCTCTTCCCTGTTGCTTTGATTGATTGTAGACTTTTTGCTTCACTTCCTTTCAGGCATTCGTTGATAGTGGTGCTCAGTCAACAATCATATCTACAAGCTGCGCTGAGCGCTGTGGGTAAGTTCTATTTATTGCACTTAGTTCTGAACAATTATACCTTGCTTCCTTAGAAAGATTAGTAATGCAGATTAACATACAAAAACCTGCGCGTGCTTGAACTACCTGTAGATGCATGCAAACACCTGATTAATATTTGACTTTTGTACTTGTGTAGAACAATTCTAAATGAGCAACCAATCCATTTCATTCCTATCGAATTGGCATCTCTTCCATGTGTTCTTAGTTTGTTTTGCGTTATTTTAGGGTAGGCCAAATGGCAATGTGGTGTGAATATGAATCATGGAGTAGAATGACAATGTGGCAGGGATATGAATCATTGACATTATTATCCATGTCCATTACATAGATGAACCTCTCTGAAATTAGTGGTTATAACTTATAGCTTATTTATGTGATTGCTCAAGTTAAGGTAGTGTCTGGTGTGAAAATTTATGTGATTTCTGTGAGTCTGTGCCGTCGTCTTATTGATATAATTCGAAAGATGGTTGACCCAGAGGAAATGTGAAGTGAAGTTTTCATTGTTGTAACTTGTACCTTTGTCATTTGGAAGAGATCTTTCTATGGCTATTGCACACATTTTTCAGTTGGTAACTAGGTAAGATGGAGTTGAATAATGCCATTCGTGTTTTTTTTTTTTTGATCAGCAAAGAAAAATTTCATTAACAGCATGAAATTTAGAGTACAGGTAGATGAAGTGCACCGAGAGAGATTCGGAAAGTACAAAGTACCCCAACTACTGCTACTCACACCCAAACAACCAACCCCTCAGCCTCACAAATTTTTTAAAAGATAAAATAAAAAACAAAAGTTAAGAAGAACTTAACTCAACAAAATCCATGAAACCCCACAAACTTCCCCCATAAAAAACAAATGCCATTCGTGTTTTAATACATTATAGTTGGGTAACCAGCTTAAGCTAGCTACTACTTGTATTTTTTTGTTTCCTCCATTCGTAAAGATTGTCATCCTGGTATTTGAGTTTTGGATCTTCATGTGTTCACTAATCCAAGGCCTTATTTATTTTTACAATAATGTGGTGAAAGGTATTCTTGCAACTCGAGAGTGGGAATTTGGAAAGTAACGACTTGAATACTTAACAAACAGTTGACTATATAAGAGACCTTCAGACTTTGTTTGCTTCAAGATTACGAAACAGCATGTAGGAAATTACATAATGTTTTAGCTGAAGAATTCAGTACAGTGCAAACAAGCCTTGTAAATGGGGAAAAGGGCCAAGCCCTGGTTCAACACACACCTTTTCTACCTAAAAACTGCAAACAAGCTAAAGAATCCAAGAGCTCCAATAGAGACAATCTTCTAAATTTTCTTAATCTTGATGACTGATAGAAACTTTTGTCCTATGCACTTCTGTGGGCATAGATTGTTAGTGATACATGTTATTCATTTTGTCATGATCATTGTTTTCTACTTTGTCTACACTATAGTATGTTTAAGATCTAAGTGAAGAAAGGCTTATTGTCATTGATACATCCTCTTGCAGATTGTTGAGGCTTATGGATCAATGTTATAAGGGCATTGCTCATGGGGTTGGTCAATCGGAGATATTAGGTCGGATTCATGTTGCTCCAATCAAGGTAATGTCCATACCAGTTTTCTAGGGAAGTTGCTTTGTCGCCTTTGATTTTCTGATCAGTAGGCCTCTATGTCTGCATGTGCATGCACGCCTACTTGTGTGTATGGATAATCTGATGTGTTTTGCTTTTCTATTGTTATACTTCTCTCAAAGCACATTTAAGTGTGAAAATGGAGAGCATGTTTGACACCTGTTGACTTCTTGTTATTCAAATGTTTCATAATTTACTGATTGGGAAATATTTGAGTACTTGGTTTAGTGACAATCTATATTTTGTTGTTGTCTGCAATTCATGTGTCATCTTCAGTAGTTGGTGGTTCTTCTCTTTTTCCTTACTCCATGCTTTGTATGTTCTGTGTGCGTAAGCAAGGTGTGGAAAAATATTGTGCTTACCTTTAGTTTGTAATTACAGGGAAGCACATCTCTCATTTGTGCGCTCTTAGCCTTACAGGTTATTATTAGTTTGAAATATGTTGATGAATATATGACATGTATCTGATTTCTCTTTAAAAAAAAAATCTTTACTATGCGAGATGAAAGTTTAGTATCTCTTTTTTGTACTATTGTAAACTTGTATGCTAACATTTTATCTTTGTTTCTTTCTTCTTTCTTCTTTTTTTTTTTAAAAAAAAAATCATTTTTAGGTTGGGAATGTGTTTTACCCTTGTTCCTTCGTGGTTTTGGATTCTCCTAATATGGATTTCCTTTTTGGGCTGGATATGCTTCGTAAGCACCAGGTAACATGGTTATTCTTTCAAGCTGTTTAAATTTATGACTTTCTCCAAAATCCAGAGTGGTTAAATAGTTAGTTCTAAATAGCTACTGGTTGCGGTGCATAATTGATTTGAAGGAGAATGTCTTGAGAGTTGGTGGAGGAGAGGTTTTAGTACCCTTTTTGCAAGGTTGTTTTGTGTTTCCCACACTATCTGCACTACTTGCGTTATTTACTTTTTCACTAGTGGTTAATTTCCATTGAATTGATTTGTTTGTCTGTGATTTCTGGATTTTTTGAAAAGCTTAAATTTTGGATTTATTTCAGAAAAAGACATTCCAACTAATTTTCTGGATGAAGTTGCAAAGCAAGCCTCAAGCTTTGGAGCACAGGTAGGGATATTCCTGACCATGTGCTTTCACTAAACGGATTATAACTGATAATTGCAGTGTGATGGTTTGTTGAGAAGATACATAAAAATGATGTGGAAAACAGGCAGGGAAAACAACAAAGGAAAATTTGTTGAGAAGTTCATTTTTAAGGGGTATATAGCATTCAGTCAGAAACTTCTCTTAAGGTTTTTATTGATGATGTTAACATTTTTTTTTCCTTACGATAAAGTAACAGGAGTGAATTTATAATAAAATCCTAAACTTCTGGGAGGTTTCTATCATTTCAAAAATCTCAAGGGACGTTTTTCTACCATTTCATTAAACTTCAAGGGAAATTAGTGTAATTAGAACTAAACCTTAAAGAGAAGTTTCTGTCATTTTAACAAACCTTAGGGGATGTTAGTGTGTTTGAAAATAAAACCTCAAGAGATGTTTAAGTCATTTTAGAATCTTTGAGGAAGGTTGTTACAAATTTACTACCTCAGAAGATACTTGGAATTTCCTTCAAAAAATACTTTATTAAATAAATAATTTCTATGTTTCAGCCTTCCGCATAAAGTAGCAGCAGGGTTTCATGAGCCTTAGTAATTGGTTGAATTGAATTAACTGAAGACATAAATAATTTGAAGTATGAATGTTGCTTGCATTGTCTAAGATTTAACTGCTGAGATAAAAATATTCTGCAACTAGATTAGCTTATGAAATGAGGCCAATTTTCCCAAACAGTTTTGTTTGAGATTCTTTTTTAGTTTCCTGGAAAGAGCATTGATAAAGAAGTAGAGAAATAACGATACATCTATTTGCTATTTAGGAGATGAACCAGATATCAATGCTATGGAGAGGGTGAATGTGGCTGAAAACGGAGGTGACAGTGACGAAGAATGAATAATGATGTGTTAATGAGGGTGGTTTGATCTTTTGAGGAGCTCTTTGGTGAGAAGATGCAGAGTGTAGAACAGAGAAAAAGCCGGAACATCTTCTATGTTTGCATCATTGAACTTTTGAACAGGTTTTGGGGAATTTTGCCTGCTGGTTGAAGATATGGTGACAGAACTATCTCTTAGCATTCTCAGTAAATTGGGTCTCTTCAAATATTTTTTTGTAGAGTTCTTATTGTCAGTGGGAGAGACTGCTGCTAAAGTAGGTTCAATGAACGAGGCTCCCGCTAAAGAATGGTTTGAGAAGAGCAAGATGTTTTGATGTTCTTTGAAGTACCAAAAGTGACAGCTATGTTTTGATTGGAAATTTGTGGTTTTATTTTCACTTTGTGACTTCTATTTTTGTTTATTTATTTTTCTTAAATGAAGAACCAAACAGAAGAAAAAGAGGGACTAATAACAATACCCGCAGATTGCTTGGTCTTAGTAATCACATAACTCTGTAATATCAATTTTCAACAAAATTTATGATCAATGATTGAATCATAATGACCATCACGTTTTATTTACTCTTTTTTATATATATTTTGAATGGATTTATTTTACCATTCAAAATGGTATTTTATTTCATATTCTTGCATCAGTAGCAGGAACCCCCCCACCCAAAAAAACAAAAAAAAAACAGAAGAAAAAAGTGGCGTTTTTTGAAAAAATGCCATAAAATGAAAAAAGTGGCGTTTTTTAAAAAAAACAATGGCGTTTTTCAAAAAACGCCACTAAATGACGTCATTGTGACGTCACACGTTAATTTGGGACGGAGGATGAGACGGTCGTCAAAGATTTTACGGCGTTTTCTAATATTTTTAGTGACGTTTTTTAAGCGTTGGGTAGCTATTGCGGCGGCCCTATCAGCGGCGAAAGTTTTACACGTCACTATAAGATATTACGGCGTTTTTCAGGTTTTTCGCGGCGATGAGAAAACCCCGAAGAGGAGATCAGTCCCTCGGCGAACCCTTCTTCTTAGCCACACCTAACCAATGATCCCCAATCATCCCAAAGGGTCAGGGGTAGTCCCAGAGGACGTCCTGCCGCAAAATATTGCCGAGTCTCATGGACCCCCCGGGGTCGTGCCACCTCGACCCGGGTATAGGCTAGTTTAACCGAAGAGTGAATTTATCTCCACTCACCGTCCTCGGGATCGGGTCCTTTGTTCGAACTCCATTACGCCCATGGTTCTAGTCGTAGATCCCGGAAAGCTCCGAGCCTGTAAGTGTTCTGGGACTCATTAATGGAGCGGCTTCTAGATTGTGTTTGAATCCGTTCGAAGCCAAGTGCTTCGGATCTCTAGGTTCGTGGATCCAAACCCTTTCGAGTCCGAGCCCGAGTAAGTCTCTAAGTTCGTGGATCTGAACCCTTTCGAGGCCTAGAGCGATTCGGCCCGTTTTGATGGTGATTAATCCGGGCCCACCCATCTTGGACTTGCGATAAATTCGGGCCCACTAATCTTGGGCTATTGGGCCTAAATAATTTAGTGGGCTCAAATTAGCCCCTCTTACAAAAAGTAATTAGCGTTGATACCTAGTTTAATCGATTTTCCCAACAATGGCTCGGATTTATTTATAATTTTCATTACATCCTGATAGATATTTATTTAGATTATAGTAGACAAAATAACGAATAATCGTCGTTGGATAAGAATGTAACCGACAAAAAATTGATGATCACGTGAAATAATCATAGCCATCCACATGGGCATGTGCATTGATGATTAAACTCATAATTTTTTGCTAAAAGATTGATTAGAAAAACACAAAAAAAAGAAAAAGAAAAAGAAGAAGAAAAAGAAAAAAGAAGTGAATGTGAGCAAATTTTTTAATTACTCAGTTTTTACTTTTCTTTTATATATATATTTATTTTTCTTAATTTTGGATGGGTAATTAACGAATTTGCATCAAGTATTTGCAAAATATTGGTAGACTGCTACATTAATTTGTTAAGTTACATAGTTTTAATTTATTTTATTCTCTCTAAGCTACATAGTTGGAAACTTAAAATTGAATTGATATGCTTATTACAATACCCATTTTAAGGATATGTAAGTTAGAAATACATTCACTGAGATTATTTATAATACAAATGGTTTGTTATGGTTATAAATATTACATCCTACCCCTTCCAATTGTATAACAAATTATTATTATTTTTTATTAATAAATCATTAAGTTAGGTAATGACTTCTAATGATATCAAATTTATATTTTAATTAATAATTTTGTTAATTTTATTATTGCGAAAAGGGTAGTCAATAATTTTTTTCTTTTTTGTTCAATTAAATAAAAAATTCTATTAAAGAATAATTGTAATTTTTAAAACTATAAAGCATAATTTATATTTTAAATAAATCTTAAAAACGTTTTTGTAATTTAACCTTAAGTATATAACTTTTTTTTAGGAAAGTTAGTGGCGGATTTTATAGATCATCTCAATCATAATATCAGTATTAAAAAAGGGGACACTTTTTCATAAATCCATTTTCATCTACTTATGTTTCATTTAGTTCACATTATTTTTTTTATATTCCAATAAGTCCTATGAGCGACATAGTTACCAAAATACCCCTAATAATATTCACATTTACAATGTGAATATTTCGTGATATGAATATTTACACCGTCAATGTGAATGTTCAGACTATCAATATGAATGTTCACATCGTCAATGTGAATATCACACTATTAATGTGAATGTTAATATGTCAATGTGATTGTTCACACTGTCAATGTAAGCATTCACACGTTAATATGAATATTTACATTGTAAAATATGAATGTTTACATCACCAAATTGCTAACTGTTTAAAAAATAATTGTAAAGTTAGAAATGTCCATAAAATACTTTAAATATGAGAATTAAGATTTGGTAGATCCAATGTTCAAATAATAGGACTTATTAAAATATAATAATATCTTTTGGACTAATTAAAATTCAAACACTTGAAAAAAGATTTTCTAATAAATCTCCCGTTAAAAAACCTTTTGCATCTAATGTTCTTGCAGTATGTCGACAACAAATTCCTTTAATTAAGCCCTTCCTTTCACAACTTGACTTTTTAATGCAATATTTATGTACAAAAAAATTCTAATTTATGAACTTATATTCTATAAAAAATTTAGAATCTTCAAGTCTCATTAAATTTTTAATAATCGAAATTGTCCTTCAAACAATGATTGTTCATCATTTATGATTATCTATAAATGAACATGATGATTTGACATTTATTTTGATTTTCAAAACTTTAAAACATCAACTTTAAATTGAAAAAAACTATAAAAAAAAAAAAAATTATGTGCAAATTTATTTTATTTTATTTATTTATTTATTTATTTTTAAAAGACAAAATTATTTTTTTGTGCAAAACTGAAAATTTTGTGTCATGATGATTAGGGGTGGGTATAGGTCAGTTGCGGTTACGGAACCTCTAATCCGCCATCCGTCTGTCAGATTGGTGGATTCGAAAAAAATCAATCTGCATCCGTCCGTCAATCCCGTGGATGTGGATTAAGCGGATTGGCGGATGTACGCAAATTGGTTTGGCGGTTTAAAATTTTATAAATTTTCAACATAATTCAACTTGTGCACTTCCTAAAAAAAAAATAACAAATACAATAGATGACTTAAAAAGTGTTACAATCACTGCATGCTTAATCCAAAGAAAGAAAGTTTGAAACTTAAGAATATTATAATCACTGCATACATCATCTACATATTACAATCGCAGCATGCCTCATCTACATAAAGTATTATAATCTATGGTTCTTAAAATATATAAATAATTCAAACCATCAAAACAATGAACAGAGCAGTAGTAGTGATTGTATGAATCTATATTGTTATATTTATATCTGTTTTTGAAAATAAAAACTAATATGCATATATCATCTTTTTTATTTATTATTTTTAAAGTTAGATTTAAAAATCAAAAAATATAGATAAATAATATATTTATTTTTTTCAATTTAAAAAATATATTCAAGTTGAAAATTTTTTTTCAACAGAATATATTCAACAAAATATTTAAATTCTTTTTCAATTGAAAATACAAATAGAATATCTAAACAAATTGAAAAT